TCAACGATAATAATAATGACAATAATAAAATAGTAATGATAATAACAATAATAATAATATTAATGGTAATAATATTAATAATAATAATTATTATAATTCTAATCAAAGGGAAGTTTTCAAAAATATTTTCATATACTCAAAATTTTTGATCAGAATTTTTTTGCCTTTTCATCTTTAATTTGTTTAATTATCTTCTCATTTTCGATTCTTTTTTTAGAAATCTTCAAAAAAAAATGCCAATAATTAAATGCTTTCTCCATCAAGTGTGTGTAGTATTTCGGAATGATTAAAGGCCAATAGTTTTTTTTTTTTTTTTCTCTTCTAATCGAATTATAAAATAACAAAACAGACAGAAAGAAAATTCTGGTGAAATATTTGCATAGAAAACATTTGCTCAAAGGGCAGAAAATGTTTTGTAAAAAATTAATTTTAATTAAATTAATATTCTGAGAATTGGCACCGTCGATCATCATTCATTTGTTTTATGTTTTTTTCTTTTCACTTTTTTTATATGTTTCACAAGTTTCTTAATACCTTATGTTCGATTAGCTGAAAAGCTAATCGGTCTGAAAGAATTCATTGTTTTTGTTAACTGAAGAAAGTAAAAACTTATAAACTAATAAATCAATGCAGCTTTTTTAATTTAAATATTCATAAATTCGAAATTTTCTAAAAGAATAATATATAATGTATAAATTTTATATAATGTATAAAAACTGAGGCATTATTCAACAATTTTCCATGTATAAAAGAAAATAATATTGATGTAAATAACATTTGAAAAGTATTTAGAAAGTTTGCATAAAATTTTCAAAATTTCATAAAAAGCATTCAAAAAAATATGTATATTCAGCATTTAAATAATTTAATAAACGCAATATTGGACAAATAAGGACATATAATATATTTGACATATGTAAAAATACAGTATTTTTTTCGACAGGTTAATAAATTTATAAAAATTTCGATTTGAAATAATTATGGATTTGAAATTTTCCGACGAAAAGCTTTCTAAAAAGAAATGATTAGGTGACTGCTTGACAAAAAATAGAAGAAAAAGGAAAGAATATAAAAATAATTAAACGTAACACTTCAACAGTCTTTTTTCTGAATAAAATAATGTTTTAATAATTAAAGAGCGATTAAACCCAATAAAATTCTATTTTCATTATAATTTACGAAATGGAACAGTAAAAGTTTAATTTAACTCCGTAATTCTTTTTTTTTTTTTTTTCATTTTTTCAACAATCACATACACAGTTCTTGCCCGCTTCTAAAAGTTTAAAGAAGTTTTTGACCGATAGGTGGTAGGAAGACAAAAAATGAATATTATTTTTAGATGTAACAGAAATATTAACTTCCATGCATTAGAAGAAATTGCATCTAAAATTTATTAAAATCATTTAAATTAGTGAAAAATTTGCTTTGTGGCAACGAATTCGTCTGTTCTGTATCATTCAAATTATCATTTATCGACTTTTTCCACTTTCTACTTTGTGAATGTACAACATTAATTGCTAAGCTAGATGATAAAAATTAAAATATACTGAAAAATAGGCAAATGATAATTTGAATGATATCAGTATCAGTATAAATGATTCAATGATAAGGATGATGTAACATAAATGCTAACATTAATAATACAAGTGACACACTGTTGATTCAATTGAATCACATAAATGATAATTTTTAAAGTAAATGTCGTAATAAAAATTATGTCTAATTGTCATGAAAGAGAGCCTTACTGGAGTAAATTGTGGAGCCGAATAGTTGTTGCTCGTTGATTGAAATTACTGAACAATATTAGAAAGTTTGTACCAGAGTGATATCCAGAAAACCTAATCGAAGATAAAAGGATATAACTCATTATGTAATAAGCATTAACTCATGACAAGAAGTATGATTTATAGAGTCGAAGGAGAGGTCAGCGAGACAAAGTGATGTTAACCTTGTCAACAATCTGATCTGAATGATGAGCGCTGACAAGCCGCAAAGGAGTTCAACTAAACAAAGACTGTAACTTTTGTCAATATTTAAATATAATTTACAGTTAGTAAGGAACCGACAAACAACAACAAATGAGGTCAACTAAATAAGAGCCAATAATTGTAAACGATTTAACTGGAGACAAATTCCAACATATATTTTTTGTTAACAAACTGTAATAATGCAAATAAGCTCAGTTATAATTAAAAAATGAATGTTGGATAAATGTTTTCAATGTGAGATTGAAATATGTGTCTAAGGAATGTATAAATGAGACAATTTATAATTCTTTGAATTTAATATTTTATTTCTAGGAAAATATGCCTTAATATAAATGTTATAGTAGAAAACATCGCATTTAAAAGATTATTTATCTCAAATATTATCTTAAAAAGAAAAAGAAAAGGGAGAAATTATGGTTTCAAAAAAGTTATTGGAAAACTAATCACTAATTCATCTTTTTATTAATTTCAATAATTTATATTTTATAATCACAAATTTCCATTGATCCAATTCTCATTCCATTATTTGCCATCATACAATTGTTTTGTTGTATCAAATTGAAAGGAATATTATTCATCTCAAATATTAGCTTAAAAAGAAATAGCTGTGACAAAATTTATCGCAGTGTTATCATTCAAAGGTCATTCGGGTCGAAAAGCAATGGAAATACTTCACAGCTATTTTTGTTCAAAAAATTTCATTTTGCTGGCGCTATTATCAGTGGAAGAGCGTTTGCTTCCCATCTATTTGTATGGACATTGTGCGCATATGGACAGACAGACACACATACGCGTGCAGACATAAATAGCTTCCATATGTGAAAGCCAACTTGAAAAAGTTGAGATAAGGGAAATGAAATTTTTGAAATTTAAATTTGTGGGTGAGTCTTATAACGAATCAAGCATACTGTATCGCGTGGAAGAGAAGGCGCTAGGATGGGAAATGATCGAGGAGCAGCGGGAAATTTGAGATCAAACGGGTAGATAGGTTGATTTGTTGTAGATGTTCGATTTGGGTGAAATAGAACTAATAGCATAATTAGTTGATTATTTTTCCATCCATAAGGGTTAGTTCCTAATTTATTTATCTGTTTTTTTTCTCTCTGATATAATCGAAGCATTGCGCAGGAATGTGTCACACTTTTTTTCGATAAATTGCCTTAAATTTACCTATTTTAATCTAATTATACCAATTACCCAATATTTACTCATCTGTTTCATCTTCTATCTTTTTTTCTTTCGATTATTAAATGGTTCGAATTCTGCTAATTTTAATGTTTATACTTCGTTCATAGATCAAAAAATAAACGGAATTTGTAGTGAAAAGAGTAAATGATCTTTCTAGACAGGAAAACTCGTGGATTAAGTATAAACAGTTGGATAAGTTGTGAAAAAAGCTTCGAATAATCATTCTTACAGTGATTGGATTTAAAATATGATCATCAGTAATAATTGTCTTGAAATTACCATGAATATTAAAATTCTGCCTGAAACAATTTGATTATTATAAGGGCAAGCTATATGCATTAGTACCTTTTTATTTCTGAGTTGTGTTCTCGAAGTTATTAATGATTACCATATTTTAAGTCTTATGATTGGTATGCAAAATGGTTAGATTTAGAGTTTTTCTTTTTTATCGAAATTTCTTTCCTATATTGCGTACTCAATTCTTCATTATTGTTAATCCATTATTGTTTTAAATGTTTATCAGTTTCTTGTTTCTTCCTAACAGTAATATCTTTTTTTTTTTAAATATAATTTTATCGTTATTTTTTCTTGACCGCCACTGCTTTGTCCATTGATACATTTTTTGCTTCATGATGTTTGCTTCAATTTCATTTCAAAATTTCACTATATTCCCACCCATTATTCCCTCCTGTTTCCTAGACTAAAACTGCCACTACTACCGATCTTCCAAATCGATCGATCAGTTTGAAATGATGATTCCATCAATTAACTGTCTTCGTTCGGTCATCGAAAAGCGCGCTAAGCAATACAATTAATTGCTTCGAATCTTCCAGACAGGAGGAAAAAAAAGGAAACCACTCCGCTTCCCCAAAAATCTTTTCCAGGTGAATGGCGGGTAAATTTTGCGAAGCTATTAAAAAAGGGGAAAAAAATATTCTGGGGAAAGCTATTGTGAGAGAATGAGATCTTCGATTTATCACTACGTCTAACATATTTCAATCATGTGGATTACATAAGTTCTTATTTAAATTTACATGATTATTTTAAAAAATCGTTTACTTTATAAGTTATTTAAATTATTAAATTTAAAAATTTTTTACTGTCAACTAAAAATTATTGAGGGTTTTTTTTTCACTGCATTGATAAGTTTTATTATTTAATAGATGTTAAAGAATTCAAAAGCATGGGTCTTGACGTATTTTCTCATTTTCCTCCCCTACTAATACCATTTGCAATTGTGCGGAGCTTTAAATCATTATTAGAAATGGAATAAATTAATAATTTAAGTATAAAGTACACAAAAATCACTGGTTAAGAGACAGAAGTTAAGGGAAAAATAGAATGTAAAAATTATGTTAATGTTATTTAAAGTATTCAAAGAAATGATCATTGGAAATTTTTAGGCGTAAAACGCTGCGCCTAGTGTAACAACAGTCGAAAACAGAAAGATGAATGCTTTCATTTGGAGATTTTTCAAAAAGTCCCTCCATTTTTTCTCTTAATGGATAGTTCATTAACTTAGGAAAGGTTAATCTTCAATATTTCAGACTGCGGAGGGCTAACTCTACTGAATTTTACTACTAACACTGAACTCCAGCTTTTTATTGGATATTGATTGATCGTCGGGTGATTTTCGAGGTAAATTTTCTTAATTGGGAAAAGCTAAGACGACCTAATGTTGTCAGCATCAATAACTTTTACAGCTTATGATTTGCGAAAATTTCGCTTCATATTTTAGCCTTTTTTAGCAATTTCTTACTTTATTAACCGCGGAACGGGGGAAGGAGACAAAAACTAAATCGAGTTTTTTTAGGATATATCGAAATGATTCCGGCTAATTCTAAACGGAATATTAACCCGACACATAGTGACATTAAAAATGCTTTGCCGAGAAAAAATAAACGGACGGGATTGACCGATTTGAGCAATGTAAGTTTTACCATTCTACTATGAAAGGTCTTCATTTCATTCCTTAATTTGATGTGTTCCAGGCCATCAGCTCAACTTTACATATTAGTTCAAAAGTCAGCGAAAATATTGAAAAGCAGAATATCGAAAAGCCCAGGAGAGTGCAACCCGTTGTACGAGCTAAGTCTGAAGAGAGAAAATCCGTGCGGTATATTTAAATGTTTGATATCGTTGTCACTTTATGAATATAACTTTATATCATTGGTATAGTTGTTTTAGTACCAGAAAATAGTACCGAGATTAGCTGGTAATGGTAAGATCAAAGGACCTAATTTAACATAAAGAGTACTTTCTAGCATTTTTAAATTGTTTCAGTTTCAATGAAGCAAAGTATGAATCTGATTCGGAAGCCTCCAAACATTTGGATTTAACAGTGAGTGTTGAGTAATTTAGTATTCATAAATGGAAATTCTTCTAAACTAGATTACATCACAACATCTAAAAGTAATGTGCAGAAGTGAACAAGGAATTTCAGATCTGGATGGATCCATGTCCGGAATTTGATTATGATGCTACTAATCTTGGTGATCCGTTCCAAGCTCCGGAGTACGCAATGGACATCTTCAATTACTACCATCATCGAGAAGTAGCTTTTTTTTTCTGAATATGCGTTTGCGATACAAAGCATTGTGCTTCTACAACAATCATGTATGTTTGCATTCCGTAGATAATTTTGTAAGCTAGATTTCAAGTATTTCTTTTCAGCTAAAGTTTCGTGCTTTTGATTATCTATGCAGACATCCGTTACTGAAGAAAATCCGTCGTGCAAAAGTTGTTGATTGGTTTGTGCGGTGTCAAGAAGATTTTGAGGTCAATCATGAAGTGCTGTATCATACTGTCAAATTGTTTGATCTCTATATGTGCGCTACCAACAATATGGAACAATTTGATTATATCGGAGCAGCTGCAATGATTGTTGCAGCGAAATTAGATGTATGTTGATTTGGGAATTAATTCTCTCTTTTTTCTCGTTTTTAATTCATCAACAGCTTAATATATGAATACTATTCAATTTTAATTTGTTTTAGACTCAAATGCTGGGATTAAAAATGAACTGAGTTTTGCTTCAGTATAATAGTCATTGTAGAGAAACTAAGTTATATATTCGTATTGTTAATATTAAGCTCTATGTTTTAGATTTTATTGGTCTTCGAGTGTTTTCATAACACATAAAGTTTTTTTTTTTTTTTTTTTCATCGTTAATGTCTAATTTCAGCAGCAAGGTCCACCTCTTCCCGATGATTTCATAAATCTTCCTGTCACTGACAGAGTCAAAAAAGTCAACAATTACGAACGGCGAATTTTAACTGCACTCAACTGCGATGTCAATTTTCCCCTTTCATATCGTTTTTTGCGACGTTATTCTCGTACTGGAGGTTTGGACATGCAAACACTCACAGTGGCACGTTATGTGCTGGAAACATCACTGCTTTTCTATGAATTTATTTGTGTTCCAGACAGTTTAATGGCTGCCGCAGCTTTACTTCTGTCTATGAGGATGATACGAGCTGGAGAATGGGTATATTTGTTTCCTAAAAGTCTTTTTTTTTCCAAGTTGCATAATAAAACCTCACATGTCACAATGGACCTATATTTAGAAACAATGAGCTTTATAAAGATGATGTTAACTTATTTCCAGTCAACAAGGTTGATCAAATATTCTGGTTATAAATTGGAGCATGTAGAGCCGCTTATGTGGCGCTTAAATCATATGATGAGGATGCGTTCAAAAGTCTATCCAGCATGCATAAGCATAGAGGAGAAATATAGCCATCCGTATGTTCATATTTCACTTTTGCAAGTTGAATCGAAAAAGTGTTAACAAAACTTTCTTAACTCCCCGTTGCTTCGCATTCATCATTTTATTACGGCAATAAAGATTACCACGTAATATTTTTCAGGATTTTCTACAGTGCTGCCGACATACAACTCCTCCCGGATAAGCGTCCACGTAATGAACCAGTTGGACCACCTGTAGGTCTCGGTTTCGAAACTGTAGAACACGAACCAGTTGGACCACCTGTAGATCTCGGTTTCGAAACTATAGAACTTGTTTGAGGTGCCCGAGTAATTTAATGGTTGAGAAGGGTAGGAATAGAGAGAAGACAAATCACGATTATCTTCTCGTAAATATGGCCATAATTGTTCTAGAATGTACTACCAAAATCCAGAAACGAACTAGATCATCTGATGAAGAAATAAAACGTCGTGAAGTGCTGCAATTTTGAAAAATCCGACAAATCTTTCCCAAGGGAAAATTAACATTGATACTGGAACAGGTAACAATATTTTTAGTTATTAATGAAATGGTTCGATTCATCCCTGGATTCTGATGGTATGTTTTAGGGTAGCTGTGATCATATTCCTGCAAATTATCCTTTATTTACTTCATTTTGTTTCAATTTTTATCCAGTATCATTCTCTGCTTCCCAGTTATGCCATAGATACATTTATTAACTGTTGTTACAAACTATAATTTTTCTACATCCTCTCTCTATTACTATAGCTGCAGTATATCACTATCCTTCTTTTCAAAAAAAGCCAATTATTAAGTCTAGAGTTCAACAAAATAAAGCGTTGTTAATATCTTGCATCTGACATTTACAATTTGAATATTTGAATTTGAGTCCCTGAATATGAATTTCATAGCTAATGCTGATCTGCTACATATTTTTGGGATGAATTGTTTTCCCACTTCATGGACATTACTAATCAAATATAGAAATTGGCAAGTGGAGAACACATAATATACATCACTGACGAGTGGAAGTATCAACGTCAACTTTGCAAAGCTTCGAAGTATATCAAATTTGAATAATGCTTGTGGCAGTAATTGATCCTTGCTGGCTAATGACGCATTCAATTATGGCGACACTCATGTCTGTTATATCAGCTATTGGAATATTGCTTAGGCGGTGTAAATCGTTTGTAACCTGCAAAGTTTTGACTTGGTTCATCACTGGATATAAGGAACGAGTTTTGAAAAGGCTCTATAGCGGTTTTATTTCGGGAACTGAAAATTAGGACTTACTTCATCAGCTACTTGCATTCCATCGATGCAACAGGCAGCAGTCACAATTACTCCACATGCTAACAAGAACCAGTCTGCTTGCACGCGACACATTTGTTCACTAAAATTATGAGAACATTTTTGCCCGAACTTTTGGCACTGCAGAAGTTAAGGTCATCTTTTGTTTTGAATTGGTCTCATAAGGCGCTTGTATAAAAGATAAGTTGATTTGAGGACATTGTAAAGCTCAGGAATACTAACACTAGATTATGTTGGAGAAGGATGAAATTCAAGGCAGTGTTAGCTAAATAGCTAAAATTGCCTGCTAAACTTATAAGTTTGTCTTAATAAAATGCCGGTTATTTCTGGAAAAGTAGCAGTTTTTTGAGTTCATCTAATGTCACAGAAAATTGCAAAGTTCCAAGTCATGATGGGTCGTTGTTACATGTTCATCCTGTAACAAATATAATTTTTGAGGAAGGATGGAAATACTTTAGAAAAAAAAACCGCGTAATGATTTCTGCTGAAGGACCCAGTACATTGCACATCATTCGGTTATACACATCGTTCCAATGAATGAAGACGCAATCCAACACTAGCAAGATATAATGCCAATAATCACTTGCTTCAACATTTTGTCTCCATTTCGTTTCTACAACTATAGCAGTAACTTAGTAGCATTGCCTTAATCGTTCCTTACAGTATCTCCTCGTAAAAGATGATGACAACTTTTGAAGTCTCCCTTTTAAAATTAGTCCTTCTACGGAATAAGTCCAGCTCCTAATTAAAATAACCAAACAGTATAATGAATTCTGCGTAACGATAGATAAAATTTTAGCAGGGCCGAGATATAATAAAACTTTGATTCGGTTATCTAACAATTATTTGACAAGATTTCACTGCTTGGCAAAATTTAATAAATGTGAGGTAGATTTCGAATTTCGAACTTACTAAGAATTTTAAATAGCGATTCAATGTAAACAAGTGGGGTGCAGTGATAGGCAGGTTCCCAATCAATCATCGATAAGACGCGTAATTCAGACCGCACAACGGATTCTTCCGTATAAGCAAATCCCAATGTTTTCAGACATAATTTTACAGTCTGAACTGACAAGCTCTATAAAAAATAAAAAACATGTAAGGAGGTAACTGTATGATTGATAATTTAACATTCTCCTAAAAATTCTTTTCCAAATAATTTCATGTAAACGACTTACTAACTGTGCCATAAAACTGTAACTGAGTCATCTTTAGACAAATAGCTTTCTCCAACTAAAAACTATACACTGTCACAAACAATACCACGGCTAAACGTAGATGGGCCATGGTAATGAATGGTGATCCCGTTATTAGACTCTCAAAATAACGCTTCCACAATTCTCCAATCTAATACGGTTCATCAAATTTGTGCGTCCAGAAATATCGGTTTTGATCGAGAGATTTAATTAACTTTCTGTATATTGAGCCACAGCATTACAAAGTATCCTTTTTAGAAACAAGCAATTTCTGCTTTCATTATTTCGAATTTTAAAGGTAAAATTCATCATAATATTTACTTCATTATAATTGTGCATTTTAGAGGCAATTTGAATTGATGAAAGCATTCGTAGCGTTGTTTGACGTGACAACGTCGCTTCGATTTGATTCCATTCATAATATTTCTTCCGATCTGATTGTTTCGAGTTATACACACTTTCATGCAAGCGACTAACTAACTGTACCATAAAACTACAAGTAATTTGATTCTTGTAGTTTTATAACATAGAAAGACAAATAGGTTATTTGTCGCAACAAACTATTTCACTACAACTGATAAAATATTACTATCGTAGTAATAATGATACGGTTTATTCATATTTTAATAAAATAGACGAGATTGCTAATGATGAATTAAATTATTTCATTGTTGTAATTAACGTTGGAAAAAGAATTACTAAAATATAGTAAACATAGAAATTTAGTAATCCTCAAATATTCTTCTCTTTCTCTTTTACTCATAAATGTGAAAAAGAAATAAACAAAATATTTTGCTTACTTATCAAATATTAAAAGTGCACTGTATTTCACTTCTTGTGGTAAACGAAGTCTTGTGCAAGCAGTAAAAATATATTCAGCGGAACGAGGTGTATGAAATACATGACTCCACTCATTCTGCAAGTATAATTATGAAAATTGTCGCATAAAAAAAAAAGGTTTTAAATAGTCGAAATTCTGTACAAGGATCTTACATGGAAAGTTTGACAAACCTTTCATCTAGCTATATATTCGATTTCAAATTCATGAAGTGAAATAGAGCTTTCAACAAAAATAAAAAGTTTTCCTAAATTTTTTCAACTTAGATTTGAACATCGAAAAATGCGCATAAAGTATGAATTTGTTTTGAATGATTCCAAACTAATCATTTATTAAATTTCTAATAAATAAATCTACAGATCATACAGATCAGAAAATTACAGCATCACTAATTCGTCGGCTATTTTCGGCAGCTAGTACACTAATCCAATCGTTATGCATATCTTGTGGAAGACAAGCAGTTCGATCCAAAAAATCTGGGTCCAGTATGCGGGGAACCTACAATTTTCTTAATCTTTTGCTTAACATTTTGTGATGAGATATAAATCAATTTTCATACATCAAATAAGTTCCGTCAATCCATATAGCATGCATTCCTTTTATTCATAATAATTGTAAAGACTTTCAAATATTCTGCAAGATTTAAAAAAAAAAAAGAATTTTAACATATATATGAAGAAAACGAAATGAAATAAAAAAAATCCACCAAATTATATCATCCCTTTTTTATGTGTTATTCCTTATAAATTCTTAACGATTTCCATACCTGATCCGTTTCATCGTTATTTTTTCCTTTTTTCGATTCTGTCATAATAGCTGAAGCCATCAATAACATATAACTTGTAAAATTTTCAAACAGTTCCGTAAGACAACAAAAAGAAGTCGTTAAAAATCGTTAAAAAATTATATAGACATACTAAAAATTAGTAATAATGGATGGAACAAAGAAAAGAAACGTTAAATTTATGCGTACGTAATATCTAACGACTTATTTCTATTATAAGAATTCAATGAAAAATCGATGATGAACTTGCACGTTTATCGGAGGCTATCATTACGTGTATAATCTTTTATGCAATAACAATGAAGCGATGAGCGTCTGCATGCACATGTCATATGCTTACGTGCATTTCACCATTTTCTATGTTTGAAATGGATGAGAGATGCGTGTGTTTTTTTAGGCTAGTACTTGGTTGTGTTATTAATTATGTAGAATTACGTAAGAGATTACGTGAGGGACGTGTGATATTTACATATAGAATTGCGTTATGTGTACATTCAGCCATCCATTTCCTACGTTTGAAACGGATGAGAATGCGTGTGTGTTTTTTAGACTAATGATTTATTGTATTATTAGAAGTCATGTGAAAGATTGCGTAAGTCGTTACGTGATGACTATATTATTTACTTATATAGTTTATAGGTAAAGCGTAACATCCTAAAATAGTACTCAATATTTACAAATTAGAATAATTAATTGCTGCTTTTATATGTAGACTTTGTTTAACGAAACAAAATAGAATTTTCTTATTAGAATATGTTTAACTTGTGCATTCATCAAAATGGACTTATACTTAATATATGCCTTTGTATAAAATAAGAATTTAATCAACATATAAGTGAGATATGTATACATTGCCTAACATATGATATATTCCTTTATACATACATTTTTTTATGATGGAATTAATTCAAGGCATAAATGAGGTATGGTTATTGACCTCTTCTTTATACTCAAAATGCAAGATAAAATGAAATATGAAACTAATTTTCTTCCTTCAACATTTCAGATTTGATGAATATCTCCTGTCATCGGATGGCAAGTCCCCGTTGTAGAGATGCCATTAACCTAGCTTCGTCAGGCATCACTAAACGAGAACGGCACCTCTGGGTTTGTTCACAGATACATTCTCGAGTAAGCTTATTTGATCTTTTTATCTGCTCTTTTTTTTCCTAGCGATTCATTTTTACATTAAAATACACCGGAACTCATGTTTATAAATAAGTACTGGCAACTGGAAAATTCCACAGTTTGTCTTTGCGTTATCGATTAACTACTAAGGCACTCCGATCCTAATAATCTGAAAACCGGAACCTGATTGTTAAGTGGTGATATTTACAGGCAGTCTTCTTTATCGTTCAAGTTCTGATGATTCTTTTATCTTTGACAATATTGATGCAAAGTGTCACTAAATCGTTGTCGGATAGGCTTAATTGGGGGCATATTTTTATCGCTTATGCCACTTTTTTTGGGTTTGTTGTCTTTTTTAAGCTTCGCCGACAAGTTAAAGCTTTTAATAAGTATCGTTAATTACGTTTGCAAAAGTATGAATAGCTTGATTTGTATGAGTCCTCACAATTTGAGCTAATACATTTCGTCATATTCGTTCTACTTATCCTTTTCATCACCAGAACTCGAATAATCTTGTTTTTTCCAGAGCTGTTTCTGGGATCTGGGCATTAAAACTTGTGGATAATGAGCATAAAAAGGGAAGTCGAATAAAAAGACATGCGGTCATTCTTCCCAAATTCATCATTATCCCATCCTACATCGTTCAGGTTTACATAAATTAATATAATCAGGAAATTTACATTTAAATTAATTTGAATTATATGGGAATTCCAGATCTGTACCAGGAGAGACTTGTAAACCTAATTTTCTGTTAAAATTTTTTTTAAGTTTTTAAAAACTTTCTGTTTGAGATTGGTCTCATAATTTGGTTCGCATATGGAACTTTATCTTATTTAATAGCGAATGTGTCTTCGTTTATGGAGCAATCGCCTTTATTTCTGTTTTTTGGTGTTTTGATTCCAATTTTGATTGTATGGCTTATAATTTTGTACATTTTCGCTGCGGAAATTAGTTGCCTTACATACGTAATCAATCGTTCTCGTCATTGGCGTCATACACAATATCCACCCTCTTTATTAAATATGTGTGCTTTAAATAATGGTAAATAAATCTTCTTTTTATTATCAACCAAGTTATCAAAGGTTCATCCTACTGACCTTAACTTGCGAAGTTTTTGGGAATAGTTTTGCACTACACCATTGTACGTTATTATTAACCCTCCTGCTTTTGTTGAAAATATTAATTTACTGAAATATCATGTTTGATCGTGTAATCTATATGATTAGAATACGATTAGAAAATTTCTTTTCAAAAAATGAATGACAAAGATTTTAGTTATTTTAAGCAGTAGATTTCAACTTTATTGAAGTTCCAGAGTTATTTGGTTTTTAATATTTTTGAATTGTTTTATAGCTTACACTTTTTGCAGAGAGACATCCATTTGAATCATCATCATCAAGAAACCGTAACTGTTATCTTGCTACGAATACTGTACACGAACGTGAACGAATCAAGCCAGCTGAGTTAGTTGTTATAGTTAATAGATGAAAATCCTCATTTGTCTCATTCATATTTCTTATTCTTCAGGTTTCATGTTCTTGCTCATAATTATTTTCTACAGAAATTTCATTGGTTCATGGGAAGCATTCAATAATACAGAAACCAAAATTGAAATAATGCCTCCCATGCATGCAGCAGATGATATGACACCATGTTTCTCGGAATGTCCTCGAAAGGGTATCTCGATAATTACTTCTCAGCTTGACACTGTTCCAGAGGAATCTTCAAAATCCACAAATTCTTTAGCATAACATAATTTTGTTTTCCAAATTCTTTCGTCATTGTTTGATGTAATTCCTGCTAGTATGTCTTTTTTAAAACATCACCTGAAAGGATTTTTCCAGCCAAGTCTTAACCTGGTTTTTTTTTCCTGTTTTACTCTCGTTGATTCATGTTCTTTTTTCCAAGAAATTACCCAAGTTAGTGTTTTTCTGTAATTTTGGAAACTGTTATTTTGAAAAGATTCTGTTTAACATTTTTTGATAAATGTTATTTCCTTTGCTTACAAGTAAGTATGACAGCAATATGATTACCAATGGATTGAAAGTTAGCAAAAGCTTCATTTTCAGTTCTTTTACCAAGTTTCTTAAGGCGATCAAATTTGTCACGAAGGTTCAAGGCTCATTGAATTATAGATAAATTGCTGCAGAAAGCAAAAAATCTACAGCAATGAAAAAACAGTGCCCTCCGGATTAAAATATGGCGCCGTTTTTCTTGGTTTCAGAATCTAATTTTTATCTTGAATCCATTCAGTTAATATAGCTGCAAAATTCTCATACATATTACCAATGGAAATTTTTCCCTACGTAAGTTGCGCTTGAACCATTATTTCATAACCAAGAAGTTTTCAATCAACAGTAAACTTGGCTACTTAGGTAGGATGAAGTAGCGCTGTTTTTTTTCCTGGCGAAATATTATAAAAGAAAATGATAGAAACAGATTGTACGTTGAAGTACTACATCTCATTTTAATGAATGCAACCAATCTGTCATGAAAAAAGAAACAAGCAGGTGAAAAGAAAGCAATTCTTTTTTTTGAAATGTTTTTTTATTTCTCCAATCAGTTAATTCATTTTCTTTTCCAAATTCTGTGACTGATGCGGGATGAAAGGAGTGAGTTATACATTATAAATGATATATTCACTCATTTCTGAATTTAAAATACATTGTTAGGGCAAATTATTTGAGAATACCCAGTACCTAATCATCTATCAGGAGATTCTAGCTTTTTACACTGTAGAAATATCGTATGTTATTCAATTTCCCTCGAAATTGTTCGCTTCATTTAAAAAATCTTAATTGCCCTACTTCACTCTCTCCAACTTTTCATACTTTTCCTTTCTCTCAAGTATACAAATGGTTCTGGATTTTATTAATAAATGACAATAAATTGAATGCAACTAACGATGTCAAATAACATTATAACCGATAGTTCAAAATGCTACTGTACATCTGCTTGAAATTTAGAATTATTAATAAAATTTAGATTTTCTTCTTAGCCTTCCAAAATATCTTAACAATCCTACCTATTTCATATAAGTTCAAAAGATTATGACCACTATGAATCGATAAAATTTCAATAGTTCCATTTATTACTGTAATAAATTAAGTGAAAAAAGAAAAAAAAAGTTTTGCATGCTTGAAAAATACGATATTTATGTTTAATTGTAAATAAATAAGTCTTGTTATTCAATAATAGTAAAAACATTTTATTAATTTTAAATTTCGGAAGAAAAGAAACAGTAGTACTGAAATTGTTAAATTGATGTTGGATTTAAACTGTTTTACAATAAGTCACCTGTAAGGAATAAGATGTATATTGCAATTTCTAATGAATCATATATTTTATTTTTCATAAAGTCAGAAATGAAAGAAATACAATTTTAATTTCCCATTTATTCTAAATAACTGATTACTTCATTGCACACTCTTTGCTTAAACACTCTTATTTTGTTCTTTAAATTTTGATAAATCATTTCTGTCGCACCTTATCAACTCATAATACTCATAATCTTTTTGAATTATTACAACATTGCAAAACACAAAACCTTACACTACCAGATAACGATTTTAGTAATTTTTTTGAAAATAACTTACAATACTTAACTTTATAACTATTTAAGGTCGCTAAAAAAAAAAAAACGAATGCATTTGTAAATAAGTATTAGTATTAGAATAAACAAGAGGAGTGGAAATTAATAAAACTAATGATATACTTCTACCGTTTATTGATTTGTCTTATAAGGATATACCTTCACATATATATTTTAGTCTCTAAAAAATTCAATTAAAAATCCGACTAAATTTATTCATATGAATATTTTTTCATCCGATTTCATTGTATTTTTTTTATTGGAAATTAAAATCCAACTCTTTAATTTAATCAAAAGTTCGAATCTTTTTTATTTTCATTATTAATAAATATTTCATTACTTATTAATATGATCGTATGTGATAACTGGTATTTTTTTTGGTAATCTTCTTATCAAATAATAACTATTTGATACATTAACTTTTGAATTTCTTAATTCTATTGTTTTCGTACTGCAAGAAGAAACAGAAAAAAAAACACTGTTTTATTAGAAAAAAAAAACAAACAAAATACGTAAGAATGTATGATTATATGCATGGTTAAATAGCGAGAAAAATTATAAAAATTTAATTGCTGTTCACAGCTTCTCTCATTTCCAATCACTCTTTTCAGAAATCGCAGTCATCGTTTGAATCAGCATCAAATTCATCCGCTGCAATCTAAAATAGCATTTATAAACAAATTAATCACTAATCTTAATCATCTTTTCATCCTTTATAATTTTTATCCTCTTAAATAATGATTTTAAAATTTAAAAAAATCCAGTTAAAGATTGTAGATAGATTAGCAAGTGTTAAATGCTATAAACGAATTAGTTAGAAAATAAATAAATGAGTGATGACAATGTTTATTATTTATTTATTATTTTTTGAAGGGAAGAGAGAAAAAAAAATGAAGGAATTAGTATACGGACCTCTTTATAGTCTTTCTCAAGAAGGTCCATGTCTACACGTGCGTCAATAAATTCACTTTCCTCCATACCCTCGCTAAGAAACCAATGTGTAAAAGCTCGTTTTGAATACATCAGATCGAATTTGACGTTCAAACGTGCCCACGCTTCAGCAATAGCTGTTGTATTGGCTAACATGCAGAGACCACGTGGTACAGGTGCGGCATCACCACCTGGTACAGTTGTTGGTGGCTTATCGTTAATTCCAATCTAAAAAGTTTAATTTTAAAATTTTTCTGAGGGACAAAAAAATCTTTATGACATGAAAAGATGTCTTCACTTCAACAATCAAATTATTCGTAATAGCTTTGATGATTTCTTGAATTTTTTTTCAAATAGCAATTTGAACCTTGAATCCAGTTGGGCACCACTCTACAAAATTAATCTCTCTCTGATGACGGATAGCACTAATAGCTTCGTTGACATCGTTTGCTGTGACATTACCACGGTATAAAAGGCAAATTGACATATATTTACCCTTTACCGGATCACACTGACAAATAATTTACTTTTATATGGCAAGAAACAAAACAAAATGATAAATTAAGCGAAGCAAATTAAACTAAAATAAATCGGATGAATGTTTACGCTGAAATATTTGAAATGATTCGAAATGAAATCATCTGAAAAACAAGAAGACTATTTTAACGTAAAGAAAAATAATATTTCAAAATTGAAACAAAAAGATTAAAATTTATAGCAGCTCACTTTCACCATTTGATTGGAAGTTTCAAAACAATCTCTGGTAATATCCATCACCGAAAAAGTCTTATGACGAGCTTGCATGACGGAAACTATTGGAGCATATGACACCAATGGGAAATGAATACGTGGATATGGCACCAAATTTGTCTGAAATTCCATCAGATCTACGTTTAGCGCACCTTTAAAGCGCAGCGAAGCGGTAGTCGACGAAACAACCTGAAAGAAAAAAAACACTGACTTGAAGTTGAATGACCAAAATAGCTATTGATTTTAGTTATCAATATTTCATTTTTTGTTATCAAAAAATTTTTGTACGTTTAGGCATGTTCATATCTATTAATAAGATAAAGCAAACTACTGATACTGCTATCATTTTTTATCCTTAGCATTAAATTCCTCATAAAATATAACATAATTTTTGTTTGGTTTTTTCCATTTCATATTTTTTATAATAACTGATTTTGACTATCAAAGGCTCTTAATTATATTGTCAATAAATGATCAGTTAATTATTTTAAAATACCATAAGATATTAAATATTTATGGATGAGCAAACTTGAGCAATGAGACGATTTAGATTTGGGTAGGATGGTCGATCAATGTCCAAATTACGATGGCATAAGTTATAAATTGCTTCATTGTCCACAATGAATGAACAATCAGCAATCTCAAGGGTAGCATGAGTCATAAGGACGGAATTATACGGCTCCAGTACAGATGTAGAAATTTGCGGTGCCGGATAGACCGAAAATTCTAGCTTGCTTTTTTTACCATAATTAATTGTTAAGTGTTCCATTAGCAGAGATGTAAAACCTGAACCAGTACCACCACCAAATGAATGGAAGAGGAGGAATCCTAAAAAAAAAAAAAGACAAAAATAAGGTATTTTAACCGTTCTTCTAATTATTATTTACTTTTTATCCTATCAACTATCACACATATATCATTTTTCATTTATTCTGAAATATTTTCATTTCATTTCCGTTTGATTTAGCAAACATACCTGAAAATTTTCAAGAAAAAAAAAAAAAAACTATATATGATAAGGTTAAGATTTTTGTGATAAAAAAAAAAAAAAAGAAACAATAACCCTGTAATCCATCACAATTCTCAGCCAAATGTCGAGTACGATCCATAACTTTATCAATCATATCTTTACCAACTGAATAATGTCCACGAGCATAATTATTTGCTGCATCCTCACGACCAGTTACCATCTGTAGCGGATGAAATAAATCCTTATATTTTCCCGCACGAACTATATCTATAATGTTAACAGATTTAAGAATCTATTTATCATTACATCTGCTAAATCAACATTACCTAATCAATATATTTATTCATATTTAAATTATTTAAATAATTAATAAATGAAATAAAAGTTTAGAGAAAAAAAATCTTTTAATTTTACTAAAATTAAAATTCTAAACTTTCAATTACCAACAACAGTTGGCTCTAAATCAGCCAGTAAAGCACGGGGCACGTAGTGCCCATCAGCAGCTTCGGAGAAAAAAGTTGTCAACGATGAGATGTCACGCTTCCCAAACTGATCCGACTGCAAATTCAGGTTACCCTTCACATCGATACCATGTTCCAAGCAAAATAGCTCCCAGCATGCACCACCAATTTGCACCCCAGCTTGTCCAATGTGCAACGAAATAATTTCACGCTATAATTCATTAAAATTTCAACTATTACTTTTTAACTTTTCCATTTAATACAATTATTCATTTTTTTTTGTAAAAAAATATGTAAATTTTAATGCATATAAGTGAGAAATATAAAAAGATGATATATGCATATATAACACACATAAGCAAACAATATGCAAATTTGTGGCAACTTATTTATTTGCTTTTGATATGAAATAAGATTTACTGGCTCAGATATTTTTTTATTTTATTTTATTTCCGATAAAACTTTTTTAAGAATTCAAAAATTTTGATAGATACTTCTAAATAACCAATAGAAAATGTTTAAAATCGATCATAATTAATTTATTTATATATTTATTATTATTATTGTTTGTGATGTTATTTATTATTATTACTTTCTTTTTGAGTTATACTGACGTCTATTTAAAATTGATTTAATTATCTGCCTTCTAAGCAGTTGAACAAATGAATTAAATTTAAATAAAAAACAAAAAAAAAAAAAGAAAACTTTTTACCATCTTTCTGATATCCAATTAATCACACAATTGCAAATTCTTACTGAAAAATAAAGCATTAATAAATTTTAATGAAGATGCTAAATTTATTATTATTTGTCTAGCTAAATTTAATTGTAATAACATATATCAAATATTATTAGATACTATTTAAAGCAACAATTTTGCTGAATAAATCCTTAATAAGTCTATTATATTTTAAATCATCAAATAATCCTTTCACTTCGGAATTGATTTAATTCTGAAACAGTAATTTTATGTTGGGAAAATATTTCACACAAACAAAATATCGAAAACTTTAATGTTTTAAATGTTTAGAAAAAAATACTTTGGTTCATTTAATGTACTTTTAATTAGCTAAAGTATCAATTAATTAAAGTTAGGGACATAATTAAAATAGTATTAAATGAAAATAATTTAAGTGAAATAATATTAAATGTAATATAATATTAAGGAAATAGTATTAAATTGAAATGATAACATTTCCCAATTGAGTAATATCAGAAAAGCAACTGAAGCAGGAAGACGAGACCAGTTACCAGAATGACACACTACAATAATGACTGAGTGAACTCCACCCAGCTAATAAATAAGATAAGAATTGCTCCTGCAAAAATTTGCATATTCACTAAGGCAAGCTAAAAATGCATATTGCATCGCTGTAATTGTTACACGTCGATATGTCTCTCGAAAGATGTGTTGATTTCAGGGACAAATAAAAAGAAGAAGGAGAGAGTGAAACTTTAAGGTAAATTATAATTTACTTAATGAAACAGTAGTATTCGATGAATTACTACTAAAATATTCCGAATTGTTAATAATAATTGCTTGTACTAATGATCACACGAATGTGTAACATTTGTATTTATTTCAAATCAGTTGTCAAATTTTGAATTTCAAACAAATTGTCAATTTTTGTTTTCAAATATTCTTGTCATATATAAATTTCAAATTTTTGATTGGAGAATGGATTTTAATTTTCCGTTTCATTTAATATTGCATCAATTTTCATTAATTAAATTTAGTTCTTTAACCTTCAACCTTTCGATGAGCTTATTTTCCGGTTGTGCATCTTACTTTGTGCCAACTATGAAAATTGCTATCATAATTAACTTTTTATTAATGAAATTCAAAAATAATCCAGTGAGATTGTATATTTCATAGAGACGCAACGTATGAGTGCTGTGACATGTGCCATAGCTAAATGCAGAAGTAAAAGCTGAAGCGTAACCTGTTTTGGGGATTACAGCTGTTCCGGAATGTGTTAGGACGCACCGGGATTCTGGGCTATCGTGCTGGAATTCTAAACTATTGTTCCTTCATGTCTGATTTTTTTCTAAATTTCGCCACTTTCTCAATTGTTCAACTCTAATGATAAAAGAGTTATCAAGTGCGATTGAAGAGTTAGGAAATGTGAAGTGTAAGAAGAAAAGAGCATTGCATTTTGAGAGACTGCAAACTGTGTAAAAATTATGTAATTGCTAATACTTTGTTAAAGAGTAGAGAAAAAGTAGTGATGATTAGTAAGATTTGTATATTAAGAAGAAAAGAAAATTTGATAACAGCATTAGTAGTAATTGAAAGTAACATTGAAATTCTTTTTTCTTTTTTGCAAAAGGAAAAATTGTCACTTATGCAAAAAGATTATATATATATATATATATATATATATGTATATATATTTGTTTATTATGTAATTTGTGAAATAAATGATTAGAATAATTTATAGATTATGTGCAATAAGCTTCAGTGTTTCGAGAAGTGTGTACATATCGATCTCAGATAAAAAGAAAAGTTCCTTGTTTTTGTAGTGCGTTCTGAAAAGCGCATTTTAACATTTACAACTAAATCAATGGATGATGCCGTAAGTTTAACATCAAATTTTTTATCTTACTTTATTTTTTTCTTTCAAGATACAAAACGTATACTGCGGGGTGTGTGTTTTGGTTAGGGGAGAATTAGAAAAAATCGTAAAATGAACGAAAGTTAATCTGGTTTGATTTAATGTCCAAAACAGTACAAAAGGTTTGGTAAACATAAGTTAATACAGTCTTATATTTCTGAATTTATCCATTTACATTACTCTTCGACCATATAAATCATTTTTAGTAAATAAGAGCGAATCTTTATTCTTCTTAAGTAATGTGATTTGTATTAGAAGTTCTTAGTGGAGAACCATATATTGGAAAATCAATGCACAAGTTACAATATGCCAAATATTTGGTACTAAATGAGGTAGAATCACACAAAATTTTTTTCTCAGTGGAGTATTATTTTGGTTTAAAAAATTTGTATTAAATACTTATTTTAGAGCAGCGACCCACCACTGCCAACATGGTTTCAAGAATTGCGACATGTGGAGAAAATCATGGGCATTAAGGAGGAAATTGCTGATAGAGATTTATGGCATGTCTTTTACTGACAAGTTTATATATATATATATATATATATATATATATATATATATATTTGAAATTTTCAGCTGTTTCACTTGTTTATAATCGCAATAAATTCATTCATTCGCTGGAGCAGGACGACTTAGGAAAAGTGGAATCCGTAAACTTTCAGTTATTCATCTTTGAGAGTATTAAAGGAGGAAATATTCAAAAGAACGTATGAGAACAGTATCGGTGGCCCTTGTGTTATGTTTGAATATTGGTGTGGACCCGCCAGATGTTCATAGGCCGAATCCATGTGCGCGGAAAGAGTGTTGGATTGATCCACTGGGAATAAATCCTCAGAAAGCTGTTCTTAAAATTGCTAATGCTCTGCAGAAAAGTTATGAACGTTGGCAACCACGTGCAAGGTAATTGGGCAGCAATAGGTTACTTGTTGTTTGTAGACATTGTGTGTTGTGTTCGGTAGTGAGTCCATAAGATGTGAAGGTTATATGATTGTCTGTAAATATATGTAAATAACTTGTGAGATATTTGCTCGTTTTTACAGGTATAAAACGGCAAATGATCCAACAGTGGATGATGTTCGACGTTTATGCCAAAGTTTGCGACGAAACGCCAAAGATGAACGTATTCTATTTCATTACAATGGACATGGTGTCCCAAGACCGACTGAAAATGGTGAAATATGGGTTTTCAACAAAAATTTCACTCAGGTGTCTGAATTATCTCAAATATATAATGTAATTTTTTTCATTTTCTCAATCCACTGAATAAATTTCCAATAAAAAAAAAATAAGTTTCAGTACATCCCGCTTTCGATTTTTGACTTACAGTCGTGGATGGGTCATCCGGCCGTGTACGTCTGGGATTGCCATTGTGCTGGTCTAGCTAGTAAGTTTGTAAAAATTTTCTTACAAAATTTAGTGCGTGATAGACTCAGTAATAATGGGTATGCATCAAGGCTTAGCAATTATAGGTTTTACGCTTTGATGATGATCAATAGCATGTTGGAAGTAATTGATGCTTCCTTTCGGAGTTCTTGATTCCTGTTATATAGCTTCGGTTCAGGCTATCTCTGTAATTGTATTTTCATTCTGTGAGTAAAACTAAATGATATGGCTATATTTTGTTCCATTTTTATAAGCCGTGATTGTATTTTAGTAAGATCTTTCTTTCGCTTTGCTGAAGATCATGAAAAAGAATGGGTTAAACAACTCGATGAACATATGGAAACGCGTCCACCACCATTACCCATTATTCAAACCGAAATGAGTCTTGAAGAAAAGGCATCTGCTTTTGGATTCCGGAAGAAGCCAAATTTTAAAGTAAGTTGTTTCGGAAACTGTTTTGCAGTTGGAAAATGTGGTTTTATAACGTAGTCCTGATTTAAATTTTAGGAATGTATTCACATTGGAGCATGCGGAGACCATGAATTACTTCCAATGGATTCAAGACTTCCGGCTGATCTTTTCACGTCCTGTATTTTAACACCAATCCAAATTTCGGTGTTGTGGTATATCTTGAAAAATCATTTGGAGGTGTGTATTCTTTGTCCACAGTATTCATATTTCAATAAACATTTATCAAACACTGTTTTGCGCTTTATTTAATATATTTGATTTGTCAGTGCTTCAGGATCGATTTCCCGTAACAATAGTTGATAAGATCCCTGGTCAACTCAGTGATCGTCGAACCATGCTTGGCGAGTTGAATTGGATATTCACAGCAATTACCGACACGATTGCATGGAGTTCACTTCCAAAAGAATTGTTTCAGAAACTATTTCGATTGGTACACTTTGTTTTTGGATTTTTTCTGTCTTTAGGAAGTCTTCGTTTACAACCGTGTCAAGTACGATGAGTATATCTTCACTTTATTTCTCTCAACTTTTCAGTGTCCTTCGGTGCATATATTTTATTTCTCTCAACTTTTCAGTGTCCTTCGGTACATTATGAATTCGTTGTCCATGAAATTTATTTTCCTTTCTATATTTTTAATATATTATTCCAGTGGCATGCTCCAATAAAAATTGTTGTAAACTACATCCAAAATATGAAACGATTTTGTATTATTTTTAAGGATTTACTACTTGCATCAGTATTTCGAAGTTTTGTATTGGCTAACCGAGTAATGCGCGAAAATCAGTGTCATGTCGTTTCTCGTCCTTCCTTACCATCTGTTCATAGTCATCCTCTTTGGGATGCTTGGGATTATACCATCGATTTATGTCTAAGCCAAATTCAGGGCTTCACAACACCAAAACAGAAACTTTGGTCTGTTGCAAAAGAAATATATTTCTCACGTTCATCCGTTCGTCATGAATGTATGTTTGGGTTGAAATTGATTTTGCATAAGTTAATCGTTTGTTAAAATTAATCGCATTCAAAATCAAAAAAGATAGTTGTGAACCGTGCCTAAAACAATCCAAATTTTTGTTACCACGAAGATACTCCGATAGCGAACTGTGCTTTAAATATGATTGCTTCTAGCATATATCCAACGTTTGAGAAACTTTTCAATGATTTAGTCGTTATTTTGTAGTGCTTATTGATGTGACTTCACAGCTTGCACCGATAAATGAAGCAGATTACACTCATAATTGGTTTTTCATTGAACAGTTACAAGCATTCGAAGTTTGGCTTAAATATGGTGGTGAAAGGCGAACTCCTCCACAGCAGCTTCCTGTTGTTTTACAAGTACTTCTCAGTCAGGTACTGGTTGAAGATTGATATAAAGCAGTTGTACGTTTTTGGTATATTTGTATTTTCAATCATATCATGCTATGTTTGAAGATTTTTTTGAATTTTGAAATAAAATTGAACAAGAAGTGATTGTAATCATTGTTTTGAGGTACATTTTGAGGTACATCGAGTGAAAGCGCTGGAGCTTTTGGCTCGCTTTCTAGATTTGGGCTCATGGGCCGTAGGCCATGCCCTCTCTGTCGGTATATTTCCTTATGTTCTGAAGTTGCTTCAAAGTGCAACAAAGGAATTGAGACCATGGTTGGCGTTCATCTGGGCAAAAATTCTTGCTGTAGAAACAAGTTGTCAAGTGGACCTGATTAAGGATAAAGAGCGAGGGTTAGTTTTACTTGAAGACAAATTTAAAAATTATTAGTCTAAAAGCAAAAACCTTTATTGCGATTATCTTATTTTTTACAGGCAAACATTACACTTTATAAATTCATAGGAATAATCGACACCTTCTGAGTAGTCTTTAGGAAGTAGCTGCTGGAATGTAAGTGAAGTAATGTTTACCGTTCTAAAGAACGGCCGCTTCGAAAATATACATTCCGAGACTTTATAGGTTCTAAAAGGTGGATGACAACGTTTGGTTCCTTTTTTTTTTTTTTTCAGATATATGTACTTTTTAACAATCTTGAACGATCCTAGTACTAATCCGCGGCAAAAAATTGTCCCAGCATTTGTAATGGCTGCATTAATTGAAAACAACTATAGGTTTGTAATTTAGTAATCTTGTAATCTTGAAAAGCATGCATTGTATCTTTACCAAATAGTTTTCATTTCCGTAAAGTATGTGTTATTTTCAGACCTGCACAAGAGTTGCTAACCGATAATAGATATGTAACACTTTGTATCGAGCTTCTGTCAGATGTAGCTCTGCGACAATGCAGATTGCTTCGGTTATGGTTACTTATTGGTCTTGGACGACTCTGGGCTGATTATGATGATGCCAGGTGGCAGGCGATTAGATTGGCCGCTTATGAAAGGGTATACACAATTTTGCAAATTCTTCAAAATTCTCTTCGAAAGAAAATGATAGTCAATAAATCCTGATACAAATACTATTCATGGGCTAATCCATACAAAGAAACAGGTTTTTGAGTTTCTAATAAGTGATTTTTATAGGTTCTTGAATTTCTGGACGATTCAGTTCCGGAAGTACGTGCTGCTGCAGTCTATGCAATTGGATGTCTTGTGAGAAATAAGTCGGAAAATATCGAACACGCCACAATTGTACGTCTCTGTATGAGATCCACTTTACAAAATTGGCTAGTATTAGCATTAAGTTAGAATTAGGAGTTCATGTTGACGGTACACGTTGCCACTTATCTTCTACCTCAGTAATTTATTGTGTTATCTTTTAAAGATTGACCATGAAGTTTGTGATAAACTTTCGATGAAATGCACTTTTGATGGTTCAGTACTTGTTCGCGCTGAATTAGTTGTGGCAATGCAGTGGTTTATTATTGATTTTGAAAATCGTTTTGCCAGTCTGTCAATGGATCTTAATGAAAAAATTGAACAGAGGAAATTCAGGGAAAGAAAACTTTCGGTGAAATTTTGATTCTCATTTTTTGATCAGTTATGAATTGTTTTAATTCATTTAGTTTTTATTATTTGGATTTATTGGAAATCACATCGTGGAGGTTTTTTCTGTTTCTATCATGATCGAACGGAAACTTTAATATCTCTTTTTGATAGCTGAATGCTTTTTTTTTTTTTTTTTCACTTCAGGCAGGTGAACAGGAAATGAAACCTTTGCGTTCAATTGATGAAGAAGATGATGCATTTGTTTCTCGCGGTTATGATCGCAGTCTTCCAAGGTTTATTTTGCTTTTGAGAACAAAAGGGAATTTCTAGTTTCTAGTTTCTCTAAGTCGCTTTTAATTACATTTTTCCAGATCTGCATCTCGAAGACGAGCTCATTTCCTGGAAACTCCATTAAATTCACCTCGAAGATCAAATTCAATGAATTTCGGTAGGTACTGTTAAGAAAACTCAACTGTTTAGTAGATAAAAATGATTTCAATTGCGATTTTCTTAGCATCTAATTTCATAGTAATGCTTCTGTTGAATATTTGCCTGATATATATGCCTATTATGTAATAGTGCTTAGAGTTTCCCGAGTATTATTTTTAACAAAACGAAAATCATATGGAAGGTATTATTAATTACTACTATTGTTAAAGAGTCTTATATTTGAGTTTCTGGAGTGGTTGCGGATAAAGTTTGTGCACAGTGGAAGTCGATGTTTGATACCGGTTCACTGAATGATTTTTCCACTAAACTACTGGCTTCCACAAAGGAAATGCGCAACGAAAATTTCAAGTATGCTGTTTATTTTTGTACTTAATACTTAAGTACTGCTCGCACTTGAGACTGTAACGTTGCTACAACAAATCCTAACCTTTGATCTTTCATATAATGTTGCAGGTATAAAGCTATTAAGCAGATTGAATTCTTGGGATCAAAAACATTCAATGATCAATCTGAACGTATCTGGTTGTCACTTCTTAAGCTTTCTCTAGATCCTGTAAACAAAATCGCTGAAATGGCACAAGTGTGTATCAAAATATTTAATATTTGGTAATTCAAGCACAAGGAGGAATCTTTAGCTTCACCATTTGTTATACTCATAGTTTTATAATTCCTGTATAACTTCTTAACTAAAGAAAATCTTTTTTAAGGTATTAATTGAACATGTTGACAAATTAGCAACAACAAGGAATGAGAGAAAAAGAAAGCTGAATTGTGTTGAACGGGTATCGTTGGCCAAGGTAAATGTTATCTAAGATATATTTAAGATGCAATAATTCTCCCAATATATACAGACGAAGATGATTCCAAGGGGATTGGAAGAAAATTGATATGATAATCATTGATATCAGAATCGTAAAAAATAAGTGATTTTTCTGGACCAGTTCATTAGAGTATGAATGATGTTTCGAATTATGATCTAACTTGCTTTACATGTTTTTAGACTGTTCATCAATTTTTAGCAGACTGAATCATATCCTGCGGAAATAGTAACATTTACTGTTGGTTCACCAACATTGGATTTGTCAGCGACACCGCCTTTTGTAGAAGATCATATCTGTAGGAATTCAGAAAATACATTGATTTTGGATTCACGACGTCAAGAACAGCTCCCAGCGTTCCATCAGTCCTCAATCTTCACGCCTAAGCGAAATGTAATATTTTTGTTTTTGCTAGTGAACATAATATATGATAGTTTAGTTTACTCTATTTGTTGATGTTTAAATTTAGATATCCCCAATTTTCACGAACTCTGTATTTTTCCAGATGTATTCACCCACAATCAAAAGCATGACAAAACTGGATGAAAGTTCTTCTACAGACAGGGAACCGGTAGTTGCTCTAGTAACAACGGAATTTGTACCCTGGTGTACGAGGCGATTTACTGAACCAATTTTGGATGTAATACAGGGTTTGTAATTAAATTAATTTCTTTTCCCTGTTCATACTGAATCTTCTCTAGGATAGAAACAGTCGTTTATCTTTCTTTAATTATAGGAGAAGTTGGTGATGGCATAGCTGATCGTTTGGCTACTCATTCCATGCCTAGTGATTGGGCATCGCATAAAGATGAAGGTTTGCAGCAAACTTCGAAAAAGGAAATTCGGGCACTTAAGGAAGAGGTTCATCAATTGTCAGATTTTCAGAGTTTTTTTCTTTTTTTTTTTTTTTTTTCTAACAGTGATTTCTTGATGGTAATTACAGCTAGTAATTAGGACGAAAAATGACCCATCAGAAATTGAAATTTAAAGAAAATAATATGGCAGATTGCATCGTAAGCCACATTCTGGATGAATCATTCACTGTCCGATCATTTTAATAATCAATAATTACATTGTACTAGATGACGAAGGAATGCTATTGATGTTAAATTTTCATACTACTTTTCAACCTCCTTTATTGGGAATTGGTCCTTTTCTAGTCTTTTTTCTTTTCAGGGATTATTTTTCGACGGCCATCCACTGATTGTAAAGACAGATGCGGTAAGCAAATGTTTGGCTTGGAGTCAAATAAGACCTCACTTATATTCATGCGATGGCGAAGCAGTGACTATTTGGCGATGCGAATTACAGCGATTGTACGATGTCCGAAAGTTTTTGTGTCACAACAATAATCCCTTCGTTAATGTTAGCAGTTTCGATGTTGATTAAAAATGCTTTTTAGGAGGAACTCTGCAATATTGCTTCCCGCAGCTATGAATTTCGAACCGTTAAATGCCTTGTCTTGCTTATTAGTTGCATAGAAATATTTCACTTTAGAAAAATTTACTGTTCCACTTTTGTTTTGGAAATGACTGATAGGAATCCTTTATTTTTTCCTATTTTGGTTATCATTAAACTGATTAAATAGGAATTTTAAGCGCATGATGAAAATATCGGGTTGTTTAATATGTGTATTATCATGCTTGACATAACGTCTGTATCCTGCGGTAAATGAGTAAACATTGGATAATTAGATAATGGTACAGTATTATGAAGGGAAAAACCAGTGTCTTAAGTTTATTTTAATTCCATTTTAGGATATAGTTACTGATCTACACGTAATAAATGAAATGACACGTGAATTGGTAGTGACTTGTAGTGATGATGGATTGATGAGAATTTGGGATCCAGGATATTCCATCTATTCCCATGATTTCGAGGCGGAACAGCAGATGATAACAGCTGCTTATCTGCTAAAAGATGTGCCGATTAGCATTCCAATGAATAAGCATCTCGCATCGGTTTTTAGGTTTTTTTTTTTTATTTCGTATGTTTTCTGAAGAAATAATTTTTAGGCTTTCTGTGTAACGCAGTAGTCTATCGACATAATGCGATTGCACACTGAGCATGCTTACAGGAAACTGTAAAATGCATAGCATTAATTAGTCTAGTTTTTCTCCAGAGTTATAACTTTAGACAACATATAAAAAAATCATGTAATTCTTTCAGCATATTTCAAGTTATTTCATTCCTTCTATTATAATTTATCTATTTAAGTTGGAATCAGAAATGTGGCCTTATGGCAGTTTCTGGTAATGTGAAGGTGTGTCGTTTGTGGGACGCCCATGCAGAAAAAAGTATGCAAGAGATTCAGATTGGTGCTAAAAATTGTGCTGTCACAAAATTGAGTCTTGATAATTCAGGGAGTAATCTTCTTGCTGTTGGTATGGTTCTCTTCTGTTGTATCTCTAATATTTAGAGATATTGGAAATGCTTTTCATTTTCGAGTAATTAGCTCACGAATTTAGCGTTTCAAGTTTGTTGGCGATTGTTGATGCTCTTATTGGTTTGAAGCATTTTTTGAGGTCTGAGTGATGGATTAGTGAATGTCTACGATCCAAGATTACCTGATAAATCGCGACGTACAATGTCATCTCGAGAGCTTGAAAAACCAGTTATTGGATTATCACTTTTTTCTAATCTGGCTGGTGAATCTTCTGAAGGAAACCTGAGACTAATCGCTGGTTCAAGAGATGGCGAAATACGTTTGTGGGAGCCACGAATGTTCAAGGTATGCCTTTTATTGTTTTTTGCGAAAAATTTTAAAGTTTATATAGGTTTAGTGTATGTTGCGTTTTAACATAATTTAGTTTTGAAGCTGGAATTAGTTGAAATTTGAAATAGTTAATTCATGAGATTTAAATTACAGGAACCGGTAGTTAGTTTTAACGCTTGCAGCTTCCCAAAGAAAGACAGCTTAACGAATATGGAAGTTCATGTCCACAGTCAGGTATTTCTTTCATATGTTCTTTTGATTGTTGAAAAATTCAAATCATATCTAATATTATGCGAAAAGTTATGCCGACCAGTGCTGTTCTTTAAGGACATGTTGGCGACAAAATTCGCTTACTTTTTTCAAGTTCTTTATGTCTTGCATGGATTTTTTGATTTTTCTATTCTAATGGCTCTCTAAAGAATCATTCATATACCAACGAAAATCTTTTCAGTATATTCTTGCATTTCCGTAGATTGTTCCAAAAGATGGGTGAAATTTTAGCTTTTTAAATATTTTGTTTCGGTACAGCATGGTGCATTACTAGTTGTTGAAATTAGTCTATATGTTTTGTTTGAACAATTAGCGTGACAAAAACTTTTGGCTTTCTAATGATTTCAATTAAATTTAGTTTAGCTGAGTAAACCAGTTTAGATCAATTTTTATCTAAAATTCATTTTAGTGTATTGGTTGTATGGATGATGCTTCCATGGTAAAGTTGTTTGATCTGAACGGCAAACAGCTAGGTGAAATTCGTCAGGATGATTGGTTAGTTAGTGGTCGGATCGGAACATTGATATCAATGCGTTTTCATCAGCTACTTGTCTCATTAGCAGTTGCTACTGAAAATCAAACAATTAGTTTTTATCGAATGCCGGATTTATCGTGATTTGTTTGAATTATTATATTTTGTTTTTTGTTTTTTTTTTTTAAAATTTTGTTTTCTAGTCCAATTTTATTTGCGTTGCTCTGGCTTCATTATGGTTTTGTGGTATTCCTCATTACGTGACTGCTGTTTTCAAGTACAAATTTAACTTTGGCTTTTGTATTTAGAATATTTCTGAAATTAAAAAAAAAAAAGTTATTTTTAGTTCTCCTAATTTTCCTCAGTTTATTACAATTCTGACAGATGTAATTGTGCATACCCACTTCGATAGAAATTGATATGAGCAAAATAAAGATTTGGAACAGGGAGATCCTTGAAAATTCATTTCTCAGGTAGATCTTATTGCTGGAACTGGATTATTGTTTGGATATTTGTTTTTTAATTTTGACTATTGCTCAAACGATTTTATGCATTATGAATTTTCTTATAATTTTCAGTGAATTTGTGTATATATTATTAAGCTCTCTTTATTCTGCACAAGCCTTCCAGCTGTATTATATTGCTTGTTGTCTGCAATTTTTCTCTTTCATGGAGTGGCTTTATTTGTCACTGATAATGATTTTCCAGAAGGTTTTAGGATGGAGGATATTAAGTATGCTGGTGATTTCACGCGTATTTGAAGTATTTTAATGTTGGGCTATGAGGAAAACTCACTGTGCTATTGTTCTAATTGCACTTGTAATTTTTACCATCTGAAACTGAGATGATATGGACGTTAATTTTTTAGAATTTTAGAGTTATGAAATTGTTTATTATACATTCCTAATACTATTGGCGCTGCTGACTGCAGTTTTTGGGGAGCCGTGAGAACTGAGGTATTGGATAGCTGTAGTATTAGAAAAAAAAAAAAAAATTACGGGTAGGCACTCAGACAGCCAGTATGGCATCAGGAACGACTGAGTTCTAAATTGTCTACGAGATATTTCCTAGTTTATTTCATCTCTCTTAAGGTAGGGGTTATTATTATGTTGAATTTTTGCATCTATTTTAAATATTTCACGTTAAAATTCAGAACCTTTAATTTTAGTTTTGATCATAGTACATGAATGCATGGCATTCGTATCGTTACGATTAAGTACCTGCGTAGTTTATTTTTCCATACAGCATGTCTCGAATGCCCATTTAATATCTTTTCAGTATCATTAGTAGTCTTCAATGGTGAAATTTGGTAGATTAAGAAAATCAGAATATTTAACCTTAGTTTGCTGGATTATGACTGCCAGTTTGGTTGTTTTTCCTTTTTTACGCACTTTTACTTCACAGTATTACAAATGCTTTGTTCATTCAGTCCTGAACTGAAATGAAAATTTTTGGATTTTGCTCATTTTGTCATTTTTCTTTTGTTAATTGGTCCGCTGCATTATATATCTTGTAAATTTTTGGAAGATAATGTTATGTTTATATGTTTTTTTTCTCTTGTTTTAAGTGAATGAATGAATTTTCAAACTGTATAGAATCAAGCGCATTACAAACGCAATAATTGCTTTATTTGAACTTGAGTTTGATATACAAATTAAGTGCTTATTATTCATATTTAAAATATATTAAGGTAAAGAGATGAGGAATGTGGTAATCATTAAGAAATATTAAAATGAATTGCATTTAATATTCAGGATTAATCTACATCTATAGCACGAAGAAGCAAATTTTGGTACTTTTTTGATTACATAACTCTCATTACTTTCAAATGCGTCTAACTTTTCGTCGATTTTCTCGGTCAGTAATTCGCTTGAAACATGAAGCTCAGAAATGTTTGAAAGTTTGTTCTTTTTTATTTGTTGTTAACATTGGAAATAAATGCAAAATATTTTGGGGAGTTATGGTAAAGGTGAGGTTACTCATTTCTAAATGCTTTAATTCATTTGCAGAAATTCCAGGTAGCAGTAATTGGTCCACCAAATGTTGGCAAGTCATTGTTGACAAATAAATTGGTGAAAGCGGGTGTTGCAGCAGTAAGTTCTCAGATGGATACGACACAGAAAAATCAAACAGCCATTGTTACTGAAGGCTCATCACAATTAGTATTTGTGGATAGTCCTGGAACAGTTGGCATTAGGCATGCAAGAGAAATTGTGAGAAGTCCTGACTCACGCATATTGAGTGGTAAGTTGCGCAAATAGATTTGATTTATTATTTAAATGAAGACCTGAAATAAGTTGAATTTTTGATTTTTAGCAAGGTGTGAAATGAACCGAACTTGAATTAAGCTTAAATATTTCAAGAAAGGAGATTAGTGATTCTCTAGTCTAGAATTTAGTAATTGATTGTTCACTTAATATTAACAATTAAATAATGTAATTTGAAGTATTAAACTCGATTTCTGTATCACAACACGTTGTAATTATAAGTCGTAGCACTATAAAATTTCTTATCGTAGAAAATCGAAAATATAGAAGTGAAACTTTTTTTTTATAGATCCAGAACATGCAGTGGAACAAGCAGATCATATTCTAGTGGTACATGATGCTACAATATGTACTGATTATATTTTACATCGTGTGCTACATATGCTTCATCGTTATCGACAAATTCCGTCGAGTTTGGTACTCAATAAAATTGATCAAGTTAAGCAAAGGTTCTTTTACATTTTATTCATTTAGATTATTCTTCATATTTAAAATATTGTGCATTTTTTTTTAATTAATATAAATTACATTACAGTTAGGATTTGAAAAATTATATTAAATGGCATCATCTATCAATGTGATGAAAGTGTTTTTAAAATAGTAGAAGTTATGATGTCTGTTTGTCGAATAACGACTGACATATTATCTTTTGTTTGTCGAGTAACGCTGAACAGAAAAGCATACTACTAAAAAATATGCTCAAATATCTTTGTATTTCTTAAAATATTCTTATTTAAGATCTGATTTGTTAGCTCTTACTCGGGTTCTGTGTAATGGTCTTGTGGATGGTAAGCCAGTTGTTGTCAAGAAGCATAGTGGTGGACAATTGGCCAAGTTATGTGGCAAAATATGCAAAACATCCCACGAAATGTCACTCCATCCTGCGGAAGAAAAAGAGCAAAATGAACAATGGCAAGAAAAATATAAGTAAGACAGAAAGGATCACTTAAAATACATCGATAAGTTTTATGAATACTTTTAAACATTATGTTAAAGAAAGAACGAGAGAACTTAAAAATAAGAATTTGATATAGCCAAATACGTTTCAGAGAGCTTCTACAAAAGCCTACACACAAGTGTAGTTGGGGTGAAACCAAACAACTTTTTGCAAATATCAAAGGATGGTCAAATTTTCAAGATGTTTTCTTTGTTAGTGCATTGACTGGCGAAGGAATAGATATACTACGCGATCATCTTCACAAACTTGGTTTACGGAAGGTACTTTCCATCATTTTCAATATGGAAGTGATGTTAGTAAAAATTGAGGCATGAAAAAATTTGGTGGTAAAAAAAAACACTATAGATATTGGTTCAAGTTCAAATTTATCTAATTATTTTTAGGAACATGTCTTTAAGCAAGAAATGCTCACTACCAAAAAACCAGCAATAATATGCCAAGATGCGATTCGAGCAGAATTTTTGAATCGGATACCGCCTTACATTGCCTATACCTTGAAGGTAAGATACTCTATCAATATTTGATATAAAACTGCAGAAATGATAAGGCTTTCTCATTACTGTAACACTTTATCTTTTGTTACCGTAACTATTTCAGTAATAGTGGTAGAGTTTGAATTTTCGACTATCCGTATTATACAGCTTGGGAAACGAAAAGTTTTTTTCTTTTTCCTTCATACTTAGAATACGTTAAATTGTTGTCAGTATATCAGTGAAGCTTATATAAACATGATTGGTCAGTTTATATAGTATAACACCTTCTGATAATAATGGTATGAATGTATTCCTGAGCATCTCATTTTTGACAGTTGCTATAAAAAGCTATTAATATTCACCGAACAATTCTGCACTTGTAATGCCAAAACTTTTAACACATTTTCGGATGTTGAAGAATTTAAAAATCACAATTTCATGATTAATCCAGATTTTTTTTTGCTGGTTTTATAGATAAGTGTGACAGAATGGGATATGCAAGGTGAAGTGTTACAAATTGTTGCTGAAGTTGAATGTAAAAAAGATCGTATAGCACGAATTGTAGTTGGAGACCATGGTTTGACAATTATAGCCGTTGCTAAAGAAGTTAACGAATCATTGCAAAATTTACTCGCGCAACAATTATTTGTACGTATACTGGTTAAAGTTGGGGGTAAACTGTTCGATAGTTTACGATATAATGCAGGAAGAAATATTACCAAAAAATCCATAGGCCTATAAAGTCCGAAAATTATGAAATTGATAATGGTGAAATTTTTAAAAATTTTCTCAATTATATTAATAAAGCGAGAATAGTTTTGATATTCGAATGTCTTGTGATGTTGAGAGATATTTGCTATTCCAGCAACATTGTTGATATTACATAGTCTTAATATATATCCATATTGAAAAAATGTATGTAAACTGTCTTTGCAGTGAACATTGTACAAAAGTAAATAGATTCCTGTCCCGGAAACATTTTTAGTGGATTTTTGCATTTTACATACATACTGACTAACCTTAGCAATAATATTTGAAGGGACTATATAAGCGTCTATTGTATAAAGCTAAAGGATAGTATGTATTTGCGTGCACTATGAAAGAAATTTTTTAACAAATTAGCCTATAATTACTTCTGAAAATGATATATATATACGAGAAACATTTACAGCAAGAAATGTTTGATGATTTAAGTGTATCATTAAATTAAGTGAACAATGCGCCAAAAAAAAAAAAAGAAAAAACAGATTATGCTATAATTACAGATAGCTAATTATAGTTATTAATGTAGGTGATGATACAGGAATGTAGTGAGTTAAAGAACTGATGCTAATTAACAGTCTTTAGAGGGATAAGTGGACATAATTAGTGGATTCTGATTCTTTAAAACCGATATTGGATCAAATTCTCATTAAATGTGTGGAATGAATAATCAACTAAGTAAAC